TGGGGAGAGTTCCTGGAGGAGTTCCTGAGTGGAAATGGTAAGGATGGATGTCTTCTGCTGCGGTCACAGTGGGCCACTTTGATGGCCACTGAAGCATCTCACTCCACTCCAATCTTGTAGCCAGAAAGAGAAGACTGCAGTAGAGATTTCTAGCTATAAGCACACTGCAGAGATTCTTTTCCTTGTAATCTCCTGACTTTCTTGATGGAATCCATGGAATGGTGCATTTGTCAGAGTTGTGAAAGTGGCCTTGTGGTCTGTCTGTCTGTCTGTCCATATGTCTTTCTGTCCATCCGTATATTTATAAGGTATCTATTTAAGTCCTTCTGCACCCAAGGTCACAAGACTGTGTGCAAGGGTCTGTCCCGTGTCTCCTCATATTAGAGGAGAGAGCAGCACGAAGCGTTTCCCGCTGGGGCAGCAGGTGGCCCACCAGAGGTGGGATGAAGGACTCCCTGGAGGGGGAGCAGTCTTTCGAGTCCCTGCAACCAGCTGCCCCTCTGAGACAAAGAGGGCATTGGGTGAACAAGTTCTACACTCAAGAGTGCAAAGCAGGCTGTTTTGATCTCTCTGTGTGTGCTTGAGTGCTTGCATAGTGGGGGAAATCCACACTGCTTCTGAACAGGACAGAAAAGTCAGAAAGAACAGCCACATCATCCTGAGCACAACAGGAGGAAGTGGAGCCTGGAAAGCTGGAGCAAGTTAGGAGAAGATACAGCTTATGCCCCCCTCCAGATAGCAGCAATACAGAGAACCACGCTAATAGAAAGAAACTGAGAGAATCCAAAGGGGCATCCTGGGCCATCTCCTCTGACCCTGATCTCCAGTGGCCTCTGCTCATGACATGCCTACCATGTGGATGCCCAGCCTAGAATCTTGGTTCCCTGAGGATTGCTCCACTGGGACTCATGGTGCCCTCAACTGCAGATGTCGTGAGGTCATAACTCACACCTCCAATTAACTCACACAGCGGCCGGCCACTGTAAACTCCTCCTACATTGGGTGTCTGCCAAATTCACCGTTAGGTCTTCTTGATCTCTTGGACTCTGCCCAGCAGATTCAGAGTCAGGAGGCAGCGGGGGGGGGGGGGGGACAACCACCTCAGAGTCAGGATGAGGAGAAGCCTCATCATTATGTTGTAGGGTGTCTATTTGCTCAGCGGTCCCAGAGGGGCCGTTTGGTCACTGGGCCCCAAGTATAAGACCCCTTGTTCCAATGTCTGATTCTCATTGTGAACATTTGGCTCTTCCTTGCGAGTCGGCATCTCTGTTGAGCCGTCAGGCATGACAGCAGGGGAGAAAAGGTCATGACCCACCTCTGCATGGCTCCCCCTCACATACCTGCATGTTCCCGACAGCCACTGCGCAGACGAGTTACCTTTCTATGAGGCAAAAGCAGATGCTTGCAGCAGGGCATCTGGGAGGGCTTCAGCTCTTCCCGCATTCTCTGGGGCAGACACAGGTGAGCCAAGCTTGCCGTACTCTGCGTGCAGAAGCTTGTGTGAAGGCGCTTTTGTGTGTCCAAGAAACAGCCACGGCTCTGCCCAGAATCCAGTGACATTCCCACCATGAGTGAAAAGCAGCACACAGCTTGATCCTGAAGCTGCTGCATCTCCACTTTCTCAGACAGGAAATTCTCTCTCTCTCTCTCTCTCTCTCTCTCTCTCTCACACACACACACACATACAAGCTCACACCTACAAACAGTCCCAAAACAAACTCACTCCCTGGCTGAGTTCACAGAACCCAAGCACCTCTGTGGGGTTGCTATGTTTCACAGTATCCCATTAGACGGAAAACCAACTGGCTTCCTCAAAATCATGGTCTCCGCCTTGCCTGCTCAGCCCCTCTGCAGGTCCCGCTCTTGCTTCAGCCGCCATGCCTGAAATTCAGTTCGCGGTTGGATGGCTGGAGCAGGTCACACAGCCGCCGCCGCTCTTCCCAGGGACTCCATGGGAGCTGCATATGAGCACTGTGGAAGCCACGGCGCTGGGTTTGTATGATGGAAGAAACCGCAGAGGAGCAGCGATGCTGAAGAACATTCGGTTGTTCCTTACCAGGATGCCAGGATATGCCTCATGCACATTGGCCCAGTGCTTCCCTGATTTCTCCCAACCTTCCCCAAAAGATGGCCTCCTTTTCTGCTCTACCAGCTTTTATTCTTCTGCTCTGAGTGCTGTCCTCATGCAAGGACGGGCTATTTTTCTGCCCACGCTCTGATTCCTCTCCTGTTGTCCAGGGGTTTCTTTAAACAGCTGTCCTGCATGGCAAGTACATCCCTCATTACTCAAGGGGGACAGATGTGGGGACCTTCCCATGAATGGATCCCCATCAGAGGAGTGTGGGACTAGCTGAGAAACGTGGGGAGCTTGAAGGGTGGTTCCTCCTTTGCACTGCTGTGGTTCATCTTGCCCGTCCCCACTGTGGGCAGGGACTTCAAACCTCCTGTCCCAGAACCACCTGCATCCTCTCAGCGGCTTACTCTTGTGTCTTGGCTTTGCTCTTGCAGTGCTGTTCGGTTCCTGGTTCGACCATGTGAAAAGCTGGATTGGAGTAAAGGACAGACCCAATGTCTACTTTGTCTCTTACGAAGAGCTCCAGCAGGTATGGCTTGAACTTTCCGTATATTCAAGTACCAGTAGATACCTTTCTGAGCAGCAAAGGGATCGTTCCCTGCATTTATTTTCAATGAAGACACAGCAATTAAGGAGAANCAGTTAAGGAGAGCTTCTCATATATGCAGGCCTTTCCCAAAGCTGAGTAGTTGTTCTCCCCATTTGTTTCCTTGTGCAAGGAAGGGGACCTTTAATGTTGTGTGTTCACTGGGCGTTGTGCTGGCTAAGGTGCGTCCTGGGAAAAGATGGCTGGCAGTGCTTTGACTGAGAAGCTGGGGCAAGAATCCTTCTCTTGTCCTCATGGCTGCTCTGCCCTGGAATTGCCGGGAAGACAACAAAATAATGTGCCAAGTGTACCCATCACATGGCATCCCCCTTCTCTGTTGCTGATTCTCCACACACTGAGAATGCATCTACTCATCCTGGCAATTTGCTGTCATCTCCCCAGGACATGCGGGGCACCGTGCAGAAGATCTGCCACTTCCTCGGTAAGGAGCTGACCTGTCAGCAGCTTGATTCTGTGGTGGAAAATGCCTCCTTCCAGAAGATGAAGGACAGTGAAATGTTGCAGCCCTCCCAGTTGCCAGAGGAACTTTTTGAACAAACAAAAGGGTCTCTATTGAGGAAAGGTAAAAAGTAGAGCTTCCTTGATAGGCAGAAAAGGGGTTGGGAGGAAAGAGGCAGGTGGGCTGAAAGGTGGGGCACTGTGCTGTGGAAGAGGGGAGCTTCAGCATCCCCATGTTGGGCTCCACAGGAGGCTACTGGCAGCCCCGAGAGGACACTGTTTTCCATCAGGCCTGCAGGATACAGATCTGCCAAGGAGGTGCTGCGCATGGCACATGATCTGCACCGGTCTCAGCACTCCTTGGCTGTTCCCTGCGTGCTGCTCACTCAGACCTTGTACAATGCAGGATGAAGGTTACTCAAAGGGGAGTCACTCTGGGCCTGCTCCACACTGATGTTTCCCGCTCTCTTGTGGTGTTCCAAACTCTGTTTGAAGTGAAATGGAGAAAATCTCTTTTGTTCTCAAAGTCCTGAAGCACGAGCACTGGATTTTTAACACAGTGTTAAGCTGCAAATGGCTTGCCCACCCATGCATGACACTCAAGTTCTAAATGTAAAATACGGGGCAATGCCCTCACCCTGCCCTGTGCAGGTCCATAATAGGCCATTGCCCCAAGCTGTCCTCCACCATCCAAAAGTGGGAGGTCTGGCAAGGGACCAAAATGTTCTAAGTCAATTAGAAACACAGATGTCCAGCTCCAGAATTCTGGTAGCCACCTTTCAGAGATCTAGACACTCTGCAAGATGGTCAGTTTCACCATGTGGATTCAGAACAGACAAATCCTGCTAAGCAATTGGCACTCCAATAGCAGAAAAGGAAATCAATTTAATGTTGAACAAGTATTAGAAGGGATGCTATTTTAGTCCATGGCATTCTCCATGTTTCACCTGTGGCCTATTCTAGAATAAAAATATGAAGTAGCTGGGCAGTTTTACAAAAGTTTAGATGAGATAATACCTGCAGCCCTGTGTTCTTTGAAACATGCAGTTACTACAGCTGTTGATCACATCACAAGATGTAAAAGTTCCCAGGTAAAAACAGCTGTTTAATGAGTAGAAGGGACTTGCACCATAGGAAAGATAAGATTCTTTAAAAGAAGTCAGCGGAAGGAAAGGCCTGGCCTACTTCAGTCCCATGGGGAAGTCATGTCCACACCCCACAACTTCTCTTGATGTTGTTGTTGTTGTTGTTAGTCGTGAAGTCATGTCCGACCCATTGCAACCCCCTGGACAACATTCTTCCAGGCCTTCCTGTCCTCCACCATCTCCCGGAGTCCACCTGTGCTCACACCAACTGCTTCAGTGACTCCATCTAGCCACCTCATCCTCTGCCGTCCCCTTCTTCTTTTGCCATCTATCGTTCCCAGCATTAGGCTCTTGTCCAGGGAGTCCTTCCTTCTCACTAGGTGGCCAAAGTATTTGAGTTTCATCTTCAGGATCTGGACTTCTAAAGAGCAGTCAGGATTGATCTCCCCTAGGACTGATCGGTTTGATCGCCTTGTGGTCCAAGGGACTCGGAGGAGTCTCCTCCAGCACCACAATTCAAAGGCCTCAATCCTTTTGCGCTCAGCCTTCCTTATGGTCCAGCTTTCACAGCCATACATTGCAACTGGGAAAACCATAGCCTTGACTATACGCACTTTTGTTGGCAGGGTGATGTCTCTGCTTTTTAGAATGCTGTCTAGATTTGCCATAACTTTCCTCCCCAGGAGCAAGTGTCTTTTAATTGCTTGGCTGCAGTCCCCGTCTGCGGTGATCTTGAAGCCTAGGAAAATAAAATCTGTCACTACCTCCATTTCTTCCCCATCTATTTGCCAGGAAGTGAGAGGACCGGGTGCCATGATCTTAGTTTTCTTAATGTTGAGTTTCAAGCCAACTTTTGTGCTCTCCTCCTTCTCCTGCATCAAGAGGCTCTTTAATTCCTTTCCACTTTCCGCCATGAGAGTGCTATCATCTGCATATCTGAGGCTGTTGATATTTCTCCCAGCAATCTTAATTCCAACTGGTGCTTCATCTAGCTCCTCCTTTCCCATGATGTGCTCTGCATATAAGTTAAATAGACAGGGCGGCAATATACAGCCTTGCTGAACTCCTTTCTCAATTTTAAAACAATCAGTGGTTCTGTGTCCAGTTCTCACTGTTGTTTCTTGACCAGCATATAGGTTTCTCAAGAGACAAATAAGATGGTCTGGAACAACCATGTCTTTAAGAACTTGCCACAGTTTGTTGTGATCCACACAATCAAAGGCTTTAGCATAGTCAATGAAGCAGAAGAAGATGTTTTTCTGGAATTCCCTAGCTTTCTCCAGGACCCAGTGTTTGTTGGCAATTTGATCTCTAGTTCTTCTGCCTCTTTGAAATCCTGCCTTTACTTCTGGTAGTTCTTGGTCCACATATTGCTGGAGCCTAGCGTGTAGGGTTTTGAGCATCACTTTGCTAGCATGTGAAATGAGTGAAATGGAGTGCAATGGAGTTTGAACATTCTTTGGCATTGACCTTCTTTGGGATTGGAATGTAAACTGACCTTTTCCAGTCCTGTGGCCACTGTTGAGTTTTCCAAATTTGCTGGCATATTGAGTGTAGCACTTTAACTGCATCGTCTTTTAGGATTTTGAATAGCTCAGCTGGAATACTGTCGCCTCCACTAGCTTTGTTGTTGCTCAGACTTCCTAAGACCCATTTGACTTC